AAAAAACAACAGCTTCTAATTCTAGACCACTAGTCAAATGATCGCAGGTTGCCAGTGGCAATCTCAACTGGATCCCTGCACCTCCGCTAGATTTGAAGTCCCAGTTTTACGGTGAAAATCCACCCACGGTGTTGACAGGTCAGAGAGATGTCGAGTAGCTTGTTAAAGGTGGACGACTTGTCTGAAAGAGCGGAGATCATGAGAGGTGGGAAGAACAACACGCTTAAGCATAAAGAGGCTGCTGACACGTTCGCCTTCAGGTTTCTACACGCCTCGTTTTGCAAAGCGTTAGCATGCTTGATAACACATGCAAATTTTTTCTTTTTACCATTTTTATTTTAGATGTCTTTGCCCCCTTGAGAGAAGGTCAGCAAGGCATCGGCTAGAAGTTCTAGCCTAGAACAATACTCCACGAGAGCTCATTCATTAAAATAAGGCAGCAAACTCTCAGAATATCAAGGATTAATGAGTTGTAAAGAAACAAGGTAATGTTCTGATTTTTTTGTAAATTAGAGTTACGAAAAAACTGGAACTTATTCAAATGCAATACTTTTCTATTTAAAAAATTCAAAAATATAATTTCTTTTTTTAAAATGAAGAAAATACATGAATGATATATAAGCATTTTTTAATAAGGTAAGAAATTACTTTTTTGTTGTACTATAACATAATCAATTTTCATTATAAATGTAGAAAAAAGATTTTTTAATTAATGATACAGTTTTTTCATGATGATTTTTAATTTGAATGAAACAAATATTAAGATGATTCCATTGCAAACCCTTCTAGGGTGCAAGATTGCTTTAATTCAAAATTTCTGAAGGTCATCATTAGAGCACAGAGGGAAATTTTACAAGGCATCTCCAACAATCATGTCGACAGAAGCATCGCCTACTATGACAGAATTATTAATCATCTGTTCAACTAGCAAATAAGGAAAGCATCTAGGACAACAGAAACGAGAGCTTAGACAAGAACAATGGAAACTTGATTTTTTATTAACTAAGGGAAAGGCTGAAAGCAGTGTTTCCCACTATTGAGTTTAATTTGTAACATTTGCCCGATATCAAGGTAATGGCAATATACAAGGCAGATGGCCCTAACCATGATTCTGGACGACTGCAAACATTTTGCATGCACAGGGCACATGGCCATATGAAACGGACAGCAATCGAGAGATTACAGCACGCGTAAGGATTACACAATGTGTACAGTATGAAACATGTATGATGGGCATGCTGATCAGTCCACAAGCACCTTACATGGACGACTCTCAATTCTTCTCCGCTTCTTATCCTCGTCATATGGCTGTAAGATGGAAGCAACATTAGCATAAGAGCTTGCTAAACATTATTTTCTCAAGAACCAAAAGAAATTTACAGTTCATACAACCACTTTTCCTATAACATAATCTAAGAAAAGCATAATGTTGATGCATATTTGCATCATAGTATGCAATGTTGATATACTACATAAAATGGTTTACAAGTTTGCTTGGACAGTTGAATGATATAGTTTGATGAAACAAGGTCGCCAACCTACCTGCTCACTCAGGAATAGCGGGACCCTAACCCTCTTTGAGCCATCAGCCAACCGTTTATGGGGGGATTGGTTTTCCTTTGCATCAAGATTGTTGCTGACCTGCAGGCATGTTCAACAATTATGTGAGAGTACGAGCACAATAGCTGAAACTTAAATGATTCAACTGAAGCCCTGAAAGTTGTACGAAAATCAAAATATGATGTGACTCTATACTAAAAGTTTAACAAAAACATTGCTTTTCAAAAAATACCAAACATTCTCAATAAGAAATTGCCAACTGACTCCAATTGCATTCTGTGCAGGACACTGACACATCAGAAGCTTATCAAAAACATAGGAGGCTGTCAGTGTTGATGGTTTCTACATATGACTAATGCAGTTAACTCAGCTCTGATAATAAAAGTAACATCAATAATCAGACAAATGGCTTCATAGGCATGCATAACTCATGAGCTCTTTCCATGCCCGTGATGATACTGCAGGAATTATATCCAATCCCAACAGCTTTTTGTTATTATTAAAAGGATATTGAAAGTATTTTAGATGAAGTGGTAAAGGGACTGCCAGTAATATAGAATAGGACTTCTTTGATAACCAACTGATTATTAACTATAATCAATTTATAGTTGGTTGCATGAGCTTTCTTGCTTGGTTTGCCAGATTGATTGCTATCAAGCATCACAAACAGCTTGTACATAATCAATTATTTGGAGATTAAGAAACCACCAAGCCCTGTGTAGTACAATAAGGAAATAAATCTGAACTCGAATTCACCTGACTCTGAATAGCCCCAGTCAGCAATCTGTGACATCCTGATGCATGCACACTTTCTAAACTGGGGCACTGCGGAGCACCCTCTCTGGGGATACAAGAATAAAAAAAAAGGTTATCTACACGTAGCTAACAGGAAAAATGCAGAATCAACACAGCTTAAACAAATTATCAGCTGAAGGGCACAAAATTCTAGACCTGGATGCAAGTTTTTACAGGAGTTCAGATTCAAATCGTTGAGTTCTGGGCAGTTTAAGTATAGAGCCTGCATTTAAACTCACGTTTTGTGAACTGCAGGAGATAGAAAATCAATGCAACCATACACTATATTTCAGATACCAAAATCTTACATCTAAGCCAGAACAGCCCCATAGGCTGAGCTTTTTCAACCGGCTATGTTTAATGATAAGCTTCTGGTATATAAGGTGTAATTTATGTTTAAATGTCATCTGCAACTCAAAATCACCACTTTCATCGCAGGTTGGATTTTGAGAGCTCGGATCACATATTGTCATTCCACAGTCCATGAGTTCAAGAAGAGGCAACTGAGCTGTGGCAAATTGAATTCCACCTGAGAGGAGTAAAAAAAACAAGATAATTAATAAAAGTCTTTTGCAGGACCAAAGCACGTTGCAAATACAGATTCTACATTTCCTTTAGATGGAGAGATTTTAATGTAGATTACTTGAAGTGATGTTGGGACAGAGTGCAAGAAGAAGACTCGAAAGTGTTCCAGGGAATACATTGCATATCATTCCAATGCCACTGTCACTGATACTAGACCTGAAATCAACTTGTAGAGTTAAAAATGAGATCTCGAAAATAAAATGATTTAAGGAATTCACCATTTTTAATAGGCATTTGTTCCAAAACATACCCACTCAGATCAAGCAATTCTAATTTTGAATAACTTTGAGAAATGGCAGCAACAGATGCATCGGAAATTTCAGTTCCAAAAACAAGTGAAAGCATTCGCAACCCCCTAAAATCATGGAGCAACCAAACATTTATCATAAAAATGTTGTATTAGATTCATGCAGGCATCCAATAAGATGAGCTTCATATGTAAAGAGTAAAAAAGTAGAAAACGCTATGAAGTTAATGGTGTTAACAACTATTATGAGCATTACATGGTGTTAAGATACTCTGTTGTGGAAGAATATAAGCTGGTAATAGGATTGTTGGACAAACCTCAAGTTTGCAGCTGTGAGAGCAAGCACCGTGGCATGAGAAAGCCGAAATGATGCAACATGTATGTTTTGGAGCCGAGGACAACTCCTTCCCAAGCCATCAACCATAGCAATAAGATCAGTACTCTCATTTTCTTGGCGAGAAAAATCAAGGGAAATCTCTTTCAAATTGGGACAGTTAAAGACCTACAAAGTAGAGCCACGGATAAGTAAAAATCAATGCATCTTAAATGCCAACATATTTTCTTCCAAACAGCATATGAGCATGAAACAATAGAAGGCCACCCTCAAATGCCCTTATGTGATCTAAACAACAAAGAGCTTCAAACTAGAAGACTGGTCACACCAAGTGAGATGAAACAAATAAAAAAAATAATTACCATCTTAGAAAGGCAATACAGATCTGAAAGCCAGAGTGCAGAGAGACTTGAGGAACAGAGGACGAATCCCCCCAGATTAGAACACCCTTCCATCTTAAGGCTTCTTAGGCAATGTTTATTAGCAACAAAACAACCCAATTCGTCGCTGCATAGAAAAATCAGAAATTTGATCCAATTAGCAGTCATTTCTCAACAGTCTTTAATCACATAACATTTAATTGGGCGAGGAACAAGAAATTATATGGTGCAGACCCTAGAGCAAATATGCTACGCGAAAAACTGGGAAACAGAACAAAGCTACTGATTATATTCCTAAACAATCAGAGAAGTCTACTGGGAACATATTGCAAAGCATAAAGCTTTGCAATCTGATTGTGCAAGGAAGACCTAAAAATGAAAAACAAAACCTTATAAACCTATGATTGTCTAGGCATCACTTTAATTTCTGCAGGCAGTAGCTAAATGCTTAATCACAGTCTATGACTAAGACCATATAAAGTAGTGTGTACAAAATTGGACCTACTATCCCATTCCAAGTAAAACTGTGATCAATATCACAAATCAGCCCCGAATCCATTACTCAATGCTTCATTTTTACAACATTGCCGCCGCCAGCAGGCAGTATATCAACATAGTTAGCATGAAATCATTTCCTGCCAGTTGTCGGTTGGCTCACTTTGAATACCCATCACCAAATAAATAAATCAAAAGAAAAGTAAAAGACTCAGCCAAATAGAAAGAAAATGAAACCATGCACATCAGATCAACCAATAATGAATAAAAGTAGGAAAGAACCCGTACCCAGTAATCCTATTGACTAGAGTTTCGGATGAAGAAAACTCCATCACTTCCAAATTAGGGCAAGAAAACGCAATGCAAGCCAACATTGTCGCATCCAGATCACTGCAACAATCAACGATATAGAATCGATTTAACTACTCACAGCGTCTTCAATTTCTTAAAATTTGGCCAGCTAAAATCGAAAATCACACTCGTTTAAACTTTTGTTCTTAAAAAACTCAAACAAGCAGTGCTTTGATTATATTAATTCATTGTTAATCATAGATTAAACGGTTAATTATCATTTTAGCATTTCTCTTCATAAATCAAATTACAATTTAATTATATTTTGTTAATAATCCTTTAAAAACTTCATCGCATTTTGTTTAGATTATGTAAATTTAACACGTTTTTGTCATTAAATCCCAAATGTCGATAATCCCCAACCGATCCACTTCAAGAAACTGTAGATCTGAAGAAAGAGAACCCTCTCGAAAATAAACCCTAACCTTTCCGATCTAAGACTCAGTCTACTGAGTCCAGTACACCTCCGCAACAAAGATCCAACAAACACAAGCTGAGTCCTAGGTGGAACCGTGAGTCTAAGCTCCTCCGCCGCCCTCCATAACCTCCTCGCTGTCTCTCTCCAGCCCTTACACACCCTAGCTGCCGCCAACAACCCCTCCGGCGGCAACCTCCTCAAAATCTCCCACATGCAGCTCACCGGCAACTTCCCGGAACCTGAATCAAACAGATCCAACTCCGATTCATCGATTTCAATATCAGGTGATTCACAACGTAAGTCAGTGTCATCAAATGACAACGCTCTGCGGAGATTCGAGTGCTGCTGACGTGACGGCGGAGGTGGACGAGAAGTTGAGGTGGAGACTGAAACGGAGGAGTCAGTGGGAGTTTGCGTTGGTGTGGTGGTGGTGCTGGGAGGGAGATGGCAGACGTGGCCTTTTTTAGGGAGGCCGCAACGGCCGCAGTTGTAACTGCCACGGTGTTTTTTGGCACGGTGGGGGGTATCCATGGAGATAAAAGAGGCGATGGAACCGCTGGGAGTAGCTGGGGGAATATGTGGTTGGTTTTCGAAGTGCATTGTGCGAGTGAGAAGGGGGACAGGGAGGTAGCGAGAGGCGGAGAAATAAAGGTAAGGGAGGCGCGGGGTTGGGTAGCGAGAGGGAGGCTGGTCAGAGAAGGGGCGGGAGATTTGTCATGGTTTCGCGCCTTGATATTTTTGTTTAAAGTATAAAATAATGGGTGGAGGAAGGTTTGGTGAGCGTAATGACGGTATTAACCTTCGTGTGCTGGTGTAAAACGCGTCCGTTTTGTTTGTTTCCGATTGTGGTAGGTTATTTGTGGGGGATATTTTTTGTCTCCGTTTATGATCATGCGCTATTTCGGCGGGTTTAGACATGCATGCCTTTTTTTGATGCTTCTCCTCTGGTCGTTGTTTTATTGCAGTGTCCTTGCATCTTATCACCGGGGATAGCAAGGGGTAAGGTTGTATGGATTTTCCATGCACACATCGCCCTCATTAAAAATAATAATAATAATAATAATAATAATAATAATCAACAGGGCTCGTTTTTTAACTATAGATCAAGACAGAATGCATTATGGATGTGAAGAACGTAGTGATTGTTTTGTCTCTCCGAAAAAAAAATCTTGGTTGCGTGTTTTCATTAAGTTTAATTCATCATTTCTATATTGACAGTAAACAACTCGTTATTTTCAAATTTTAACAACTCGATGCTACTTTTAAAAACAAAAATTATTTAATCAGTGTTAAAAGGTTTTTGAGTTTTTATTTTTTAAAGTATGTTAAAATGATTAAATTATTTTTATAAGTAAAATTTCTTCGGCTAGCATTCATGAATTTTTTTTATTTTTATATTGATTTTGTTTTTCAATCAAGTTAATTGAAGGACAATGTAATAATTTAATAAATATAAAAAATTATTTAAAAAAACTAGTTAACAAGTGCATCGTAGACTCTAAATTATGTGGCCGCATTATTTAAAAATAATGCAAGGAGATGTTTGGTGGCTAAACAATGGTTTCCATGATACTATTCGAATTATATTAGTGGCCTTTTCATTCCTAAACAACGCGGATAGACAACAAATTTTGAATTAACATCGACAATTTTTTTAACTTTTTCTCGATTTTAGCATCTAATTCTCTAAATCTTCAAAGCATTATGTCAACAATTTTTTTTTTTTAAATTTGATCATTGTTCTTTTAATTATTAATTTTTTTATTTTAAATAATTTATATAACATTTTTTATATATATTTGATTTTGTCTCGTTCTTTTTGTTGTTATGTTTGTCCCTGTTTTTTTTATTGTTATGTGTTTTGCTTGAATTGAACTTTAAAATTGTTTTTTTTTTTGTATTTCATCATCTTTTTTTTTATTTGCTAGATATAATCATCATTTTTTTATTATTATTTTTTATCTTGGTAGATTTTTTGTATTTATATTTTTTTAATTTTATTTTTTAATATTAAATTAATTTAAAATGTAGCTGATTGACTGAGCCCATATTTAGAACTTTATAGGTTGCAAGTTTGAGATACTAACCTGAGTCTAGAAAATTCGTTCAGATTGCTTTTTTATATATATTTTTTAAGCTTATTTTTTCTAATTTTATTCTTTAGCATTTATTTCATTAGAGATTGGTCTTTGTTTTTTTTTGTATAGGATTTTTCACTAATTTAAAAAATTACTCAGGTTATCTCAAATCTTTTTATTTGTTTTTTTATTGATTTAAATTGATTGCTTTTTTATATATATTTTTTAAGCTTATTTTTTCTAATTTTATTCTTTAGCATTTATTTCATTAGAGATTGGTCTTTGTTTTTTTTTATATAGGATTTTTCACTAATTTAAAAAATTACTCAGGTTATCTCAAATCTTTTTATTTGTTTTTTTATTGATTTGAATTTCTAAAAATAATTTTTTAAATTAAATTAATCTTGTTAGATATAAGTACGAGATACCCCTTTCATGATATTTTGCTTGGATTAAATTTGAGTCATTGCTCTGACGGCACTTGCGGTCTCTTCTAGAGACCTCGTGTAGCCCTTTACAACGATGTTAGAATCATTTTGGTGATCTTTTTTTGGTGATGTGAAGGTGTCTATAGTGGAGCGACAATGAGTCTCCAATGAGATTTTTTTTTTCTCTTTATGAATATGATACTGGCTACTGGTCTTTTATAATCAATTATTTCCATTTTTATTTTTTATTTTATTTATCATTAATAATTTTTTATTATATTATTAAATCAACTAAGTTTATTCAATCTAGCAAAGTCAGTGGCCCAATTCTTAGATATTTCTTTCTAATTTAAAAAATATTG